TCCACCCAACCATACATCTATCCATGTCATCTTATCCATCCATCCATCCATCCATCCACCCAACCATACATCTATCCATGTCATCTTATCCATCCCATCCCATTGACTTGGTCGTTTCTCTTTCTGATTCAGAGGGTCTTTCCAGCCTTTCAGTTTTTTCTCCTCTTTCAAAACAAGCCTAACTAATTCAAACTGATTAGAGCTGTGCTAAGGGGTCATAAATGAACTGTACATATAACGAATGCCAGGGGTGTGCCAGTGCTGCACTTACAGTGAATAACAACAAAGAGTTTTTTTTTTAAATTGAACCGAGCATTTTTAATTTTATCTCATTTTTATCTTTCATCTCATTTTCTTGCTGATCGTTAGGTGACATTGTTGGTGTTAGTTACAACAGTCCTGCTGGTAAAACACAAGAGTTATGTTCTGGTATAGTCACCCGTGTTACTCAGACGACTGTAGTGGTGGCATTCGATGATGCTGCTGATACTGATGAGCTTGATGATGATGGACCCTACAAGCTGAACAGACTGGCCAATGATGTCACATATAAAAGAATTAAAAGGTATGTACGTTACCACCCAATTCAAACCTTCTGGTAATAGAAGCGTTTGTCTCTACAAATTCAACTGTGAAACCAAAATATAAGGAACAATGAAACTTATACCCCATTCCCACCTAAAGGTGTTTAGTTAAACTATATGTTTTCATTAGGAAAAAAATTGAGGAACTAGAAACCTACAATATAATAAAACTTTCTAAAATATTATCAGAGCAAGACAAAGGATAGTTTACATGCATTATTTGACCAAAGATTGTGCAGTGTTCGTAGATAGTTTTCCAAACCCGTTTAGTTAAACCACTTTAAAACATGTTTAAGCCTTGGTGTGAATGGGGTATTTAGTCCCATGTGGTTTGAATTGGGTGGAAACGTTTATAACAACATGTTAGCCGATTAGGTCTATCCAGATTTGTATCCAGTTGCTTCTCTTGCGCTGGAGTCGATGGGCAGAATTTAGAGAACCTGTGTTGTACCTTGCATATATTAGCTGTCTTCCCATATTCCATTGGGGGATTGGAAGATCTAGGCTTCCCTGGCCCATGGAGCACCTTCGTGGAATGGAAATAAGACAAATGTGTTTAAAAACTCTTGTACAACAACTTAAAAACTCCATTGAGTTTGGAGTTCACAGATGGTAAATTGTATCATAAATGTACCTTTTATAGATTGTTACGAATGTTTTTCTTGATTACCAATAGTGCCATGCAAGATTTGTCAAAATACAGGGGGGGAACGGCATCACATCTCATTGATGTCCTCTTTGGCAATTCCGAAGTTGGTCTTCCATTGCAGTCTGATCATCTTGACTTGAGCAAGAACACAGAAGAAGGGGGTGGGTTCTTTAACACCTCTTTGAATGAGTCACAGAAGGCAGCTGTGAGGTTTGCATTGAGTCAGAGAGAAATTGGTGTAATTCATGGCCCCCCTGGAACAGGCAAGACTACAACAGTTGTTGAAATTATACTACAAGCTGTAAAGAAGCTGGGAATGAAGGTATGGGTTGTCTGTGTGTTTGATAATAATTCGTTCTTTTTAAAATAAAATTAAATAATAAAAATATTAATAGTGATGATGATGGTAAGAGCCCATTTCAGAGATGTGCTAACCAAGTGCTACTTGCGAATACATGGTGTGAAATATAAGGCCTTCTTGAGAAGTTTTATCTTTAACAAGTGAATAAACAATAATATACCATAATATTCACAAAATGTCGAAGACAAAACTTCTCAAGAACACTTATGTTTCATGCCACCAAGCTTATTTTTGCACATGTATAGCCTTTGTACAAATTCTAGACATCTTAGAAATTGAAATAATGAAGTTGATGATGTCAATGATGATGATGGATTGCAATATGTTTTTTCTTAGGTACTTGCCTGTGCTCCTTCAAATGTTGCTGTTGACAATCTGGTTGAAAAGTTGGCAAAAAGTAAAGCTAAGGTAAGTTAAAACAAAGTCACTGAGGATCAAACTATGGACCTCTTGCTTACAGCTGTAGCAGGCAGCACACTAACCAACCAAGCCACACTTGCTCCTTAAAACAAGTGTGTGAGGTCACTGAGGATCAAACTATGAACCTCTTGCTTAGCAGGCAGCACACTAACCAACCAAGGCACACTTGCTCCTTAAAACAAGTGTGTGAGGTCACTGAGGATCAAAATATGGACCTCTTGCTTAGCAGGCAGCACACTAACCAACCAAGCCACACTTGCTCCTTAAAACAAGTGTGTGAGGTCACTGAGGATCAAAGTATGGACCTCTTGCTTAGCAGGCAGCACACTAACCAACCAAGCTACTCTTGCTCCTTAAAACAAGTGTGTGAGGTCATTGAGGATCAAAGTATGGACCTCTTGCTTAGCAGGCAATGCATACTTTAACCCATTCTTCATTTATTGTTCTGTTGTTGCAGGTTGTACGACTGGGTCATCCTGCCAGGCTCTTGAAATCAATCCAACAATATTCTCTTGATGCAATCCTCACATCATCAGATGCTTCTGCCATTATACGAGATGTCAGAAAAGATATTGACAAAGCATTGGTAGGTATTACAGTGCGACTACTTGAACCAAAGCCATCTCAACAAATTTTCCACAAATTATCCAATAGTGTTTGAGTATTTAGACAATAGATTAGCGGCAAATTTTGAATTTAAATATTCTTCCGTTGTTCCGGTTGGTAGAACTAAATGATGAAGAAGAGCTTGTAATATATTTTCTTTGCAAATTAGTGATTTGTGTCACCAAAGATATAGAAAAATAGTAATGTACGACTTCAAATACAACAGGAAAGCAAATTAGAGAACGTATAAAACACAGTTTTTATGATTATAGTTTGTTTCTTCCAGACAAAGATATTATCAGGCTGACACTGTTAGATCTTATCACTATGTTGCTATGCGACAGCACTTTATATTTGACAACAGAAGTGCCGGCAGTCTTCTAAGCCGTGTAAACCCATGGATATTTGTCCGATTTGTAGCAATTCTATTGTTTAGATTCCTACTTTTGATTGGCTAATTTGTAGAAAATTTGTCGAGGTGGCTTTGGTTGGAGTAGTCGCACTGTAACAAAAAGCAATGACTTTATAATGTAGATTGTAACCGGCGGCAAGGCGCTCAGCTATGAATCAGATTGCAAGTGGTTTTGACAAAAGAATTTATTGAAAAATTCACACAACTTTACAATA